GAAATTTCTAGCCATGGACCGCCCATGGGCTCCCGTGAGGGTATTGCTCTGTAGACAGATATTTGCATCGATTGTACGCACATTTTACCTCAAGGAGCGCTCGCTCTTCGAAATATGGCCTGAGTGGGTCTATGATTTCTCCAGCATCCGCTCCACGATTTTCCGCCAGCTGCTCACCACGATGCCGACCCTTAATCTCTTGCAGCTCCAGCGATGCAGGACGCTCCTCGGCAAGGTGGGTTTCTCCAACGAACCGTCGCAGCATTGTGTCCCATGGAGGAGGGGCAGCCTCCTGCTTATCACAGTCGGTCCTCTGTTCTTACCTCCCACAACCCTCTTACCTCCCACCTCCCTCGACACAAAGAAATACAGTGAAGGGCCCTGGTCCATCATCGGTGGAAAAGTTCGGGATTTCATGCTCGACGGGTGCAATTGGAGGAGTCGAGTCTTCTACTCGATCCTCCGGCAATGCTCCCAGCTGGAGGGTCTTTCCACCCAACGTGAGTCCTTCTCCCCCGTCCCTGCGAGGGAGCGATTGTTTCTATGCCCGAGAGACGATGTTCTATCGAAAATTCGAGAATATCCTACGGTCTGAAACTATTCTTAGAGCGTCCACGGATTCTTCCGAGGTGGGCCCTGACGGCTGATATTCACATCGACTGCCTGCTCATTTTAACTCCGAATTCTCAAGCATGCGCTTCAGAATGCAACATCTCACCCCGGGGGCTAGCCGGAGCCCCCCTGGCACCCACGCTCTCCGGCCAGAGAGCGTGCAGATCATCTGGAGGATCCGCATTCGGAGTCTTGCATAAAACTCACGGCCAGAGTTTTCGCTGCGATAAGCAAGTGCACGGCGCTGCGGAACCTGTCGCTTGTGGAGGCTGTCGCTTTGGAAGACAGCCATCTGGATGACCTGCGAGCCAATTCTCCTGGTCTCAGACGTCTCTTCATGGAGGGATGCGACCGTGTGACCGGCAAGAGCTTAGCGAGGGTCCACGAATTCAGGGATCTTGACTGGCTGAGTGCCGCGGATTGCGAGATGATCTGCAGGGGACCCCGGGTAGATCTCGGACGCTTCTCGAGCTCGAAGCACTTGAGTCTCGATTTCCCTCTGAGCGGGGTCGAGTTCCTCAAGAATATTCTAACCCCCAGCGTTAGAGTCCTCCGATTTCCAGAACTAAGCCTGCTGTCTTCGGGCCCGAGATCTGCACCTTCGTCGCAGAAAATTTCTGGACGGAATTGGCCTTCATCTGCTGCGACAATCGTCCCGATGAATACGGATATCGAGTAATGCTCAGTGCCTTAGACAAGGTCCGCTCCGATGCATCATGGTCTCAGGCGCTGTTGGAATCATGAACCTGGCTTTCGAGCGTCATCTCGGATCACGGGCAATAAATGAGATCAAGCTTCACAATTCACGAATTATTAATGTGGGACTCGCATGTCTAGGCGCTCATCACAACAGACTACAGAACTCGGCTTTGGATCCGGAGGAATCATGGAGTCTTGGCTGATCTTTGAGGCCCACGTGCTCGACTTTATACCATGGAAAAGCCGATCCATTCCATTCTAAAATGAGTCGTATGAATGGTGCGACAACTTCCTGTTTCAATGTTCACTGTTCAATATAAACGTGTATTTCAAATCATGGTCACCTTCGTAGGTTTTCCGAAAACGCAGGCGACCGATGAGCCTGAAAGCCCGGAGTCGATCCAATCCGGGCAACGGAGCGACTCTCAAGTCCTCAATTTTTTTCCTTTTCATAATTTGTTACAATTTTCGAAGATTATTCATCGATCTTCCGTCAAATGTAGTGTATTCTTGGAGAAACCGCTCTTGCCATCCGCCATTGGAGAGACTTGTTCTATAGGGACGCTTTCTCGACAAAATCGTCGATTGCTTGCGGCGGCTCGGCCATCATTGAATGAGGTTATGGGAGGGCGCTACCGCTATATACGATGTTTCCCACGAGTTCTCACTCCGCAGAGTCGGGGCAGGGTTGACTGATTTCTCGGCTCCGGTCCTAGATGCCCCCGTGCTAAGGACGTATAGAGCCGAACTGTTCTTACGAGCAGGGAATCCGGAGGCGATCACGCATTTGACCATTTGCAAGGCACCTCATGCGCATCGTGGGGGAGGCTGGAGCGGTGTTCCCGACGAGGGTCTACTGTACGCTCATCTTCAATCGTGAACGCCCCGAAATGCGTCCCTCAATGACTTGAGTCAGATGAGCATCAAGTATCTATTCGTGGATCCGGTACAGATTTACCCCCTGATGTGATTTTCCTGTCATAGAGGCTAACTTAGCTCATGGCTGGCAGTCTGATCATGGATTCGACTTCATATGAATCTCTCGTCCCTGGACTCCTCGGACGGCTCTTGTGTAGTCAGTCATATTGAAGGGCTTCTCAACGTATACGGGTGATAAGGCTGTCAATTAAATTACCAAGCTCGTTATTTGGATAGCTAAGGGTAGATTCGACAATTTCGTCCCATATAGGAACATGATTCCTCGGACGCGTGTTGAGTACAACAGTCGTGGAGGTCTGAGAAATGTGGCCCAGGGATCGTATGCTTCTTGCGTTTTTTGCTGGAGAAAAGTCCGTTCGCTGATAGCACGTAGGAATAATTACAGTCAAGTCGGCTTTTTATTAGTCGTCATAGAACTCCGGAAACCGCAGCGGTCTATTATACAAGTCAGATATTGAATCTAAATGGGATTGCCGACCCTACTCCAGCCGAAAGGGTCAACCGAGAACAAAATAGGAGGAGCGTAAGAGAACCCCTTCGATCAGAGATTTACGTGGCTATTCCACCTTCCTGCCAGCTAACAAAGAACAGAGGACATCCAGGCAGTTTCGGGCATTCCGTGGCGAACGATCGTTCAGAATCCGTCTGAAATTCTCGAGAAGACACGTGTCGTCCGTCTCACGGGACCAGTACTCAGATGCGTATCCGATGCGATCCAGGAGCTTATCTACAAGGTACTCAATCCACAAGGCGTTCGTTCGCGGACGGAAACCGCGCCAAGAACCTCCAATAGCCTTGCTCAACCGTCTGTACATATCGTACTGGACCGATCCAGATTGTTGAAGGATCGCTGGGAAAATGCGCTTCACGTCCAGGAACTCGACCCCATGCGGGGTTCGGCACCGCGCTAGACCGAAATCGATCAGCATCACCTTCATTCCGAACGATGGAATGGAGTGGATTCTCCCGTTCGATTCGAGAAAAACTCGATCGCACTCCGACGGTTCTTCTTCCAGAATCAATATGTTTTCCCAATGACAGTCTCGGTGTTCAAACTCGAGGTTTGCCTCCGCGATAGCTAAGGTGTTGATAACTTGAGCGAGGATGGACAAAGCATCGCCATGATGTTTCAAACGCAGGTTCCCTTCGGGAGCTCGTGCGTACTGCCGGAGATTGTTTCCTCCGTATTCGATCTCAATGGCCAACCATTTCGTCATGCTGGGCGAAACGAAGTAATGGCCGTCCTTAGTGTCTTCTAAGAGGAACTCTATCCGTGAGTCGAGAGGCGCGCTCACGATTGCGCAGTTCTGGTATTTCGGGAAACCCACACGATCCCCGTAACAAGATTTCAGGTTCGACACGCTCGCTGTTATGAAGATCTCACGGAGGATATGCGTCATTTTTTCTTCTTCTAGCGGAATTAGCTTAAGAACTGATAGAAGGCCTTCACCGTCTCTCACGGCGACAGCGATTCCGAAACCTCCAACGCCGAGTATATGAACTAGACTCAGGTTCCGGGCGGCGAAATAGTTTTCGAAGGAGTTGATTCTTCTCTTTGTCAGAGCGACGCTGCGGAGCACCTTGTAGGCGACTCTCGGATTCATTCCCGACGTTGGGGAGAAGTCCGTCTGGTCTCTCCCTGACATCCAAAGTCCCCGCAATGGGTGGAATACGGGATTCGTCGGGAGGAGAAAAATAGTGGGAGGCACTTTGATTACCTCTTCGGGATCGCAATCCTTCGCATAATTAGCTGTGTGGAGCGTATCGTCCTCGGGGATGCTCACGTCGAAGACATCCTTCGTGGCGAAAAACTCGAGTCTCCACACAGCTTTAGGGTGACACTCGCCCTCTCGCCACAGACTTCTCACGTAGTCTTTCGGGACCCTGATGAGTTTCCACAAAGTATCCGAAACTCGCTTCACTTGCGTAGGATACACATTCATTTCAAAAACAACTTTTTCCCCTTCCAGAAGTACGAGTGCAGCGAAGGCGGATCGCCGACTCCGTCTCACTTTGGAAATCATCTTCGAAGCTTCTGCTCGCGAGCTAGAATGAAGGTTTTCGACATGACCATCGGATATCTATAAATTGGCCCGAGGTTGCTATGATTCGAAGAAAATTCTGAATGATCCGAAAGTGGGCCTGTCGTTCCCGGATATCACGAACCGTTCTTTATTGATGCTGCGTCGCGAGTTGCTTTCTCTCATTCTTCACGGAGGGATTCTTACAAACTCGTCGACACGATGAAGCTCCCAGTCGCTTCCCGCCTGGGAAAAATAACCCCAGTCCCGGAACGGGACTAGCGCGGTCAGATCCTTCTTGAGGACGGTCGATTTCACAGACAACTCTCGGCCTGCACTTTTCGTGGAGAATAACCCTGAAAATTGGTGAATGCCCGATTGGACGCCCGGATCTCCCCGCGGGATGAGGCATTCATGAGGTATGAGGTTCCAAATAAGGGGAGCTTAAACAATAAAACGCTGCACTCACGACTCAGACACCAGTTGATTCCCCAGTCGGCGAGGTCACACCCCCACTTCAGTCAAAGCGAGTGGGCAAGGTCGAGAACGCGAGCAATCTCAGCGTTGAGGGCGTATCTGAGCTCTGAATAGAGTCGTATGCCCAACCTACCAGTTGACCGTCTACTGTGTTATTATTGACACACGAATGCAATGCGCGATAACGCCGAATTTCGAGGATCAGCTGTCACTTCGTTACTTCCCGCCTATTTTGAGAATTCAACCAGGCCCGGGAATGTTAGTCTCTCTACTTGTGTTCCCGGTTTCGGCGATGCGAATGCTGGTCATCACACTACTTAGACTCGCACAGAGATTGCAAACGTTTCTCGCTCGTCTTCCGTCTTTTGCTCCTGTATGTCAGAGCGGACACTACAGCTCCCCCTCCTCTGAATTGCAGATAGCAGGTATGCTATCATCGTCCCGCCCTGTGCGACATCGGCGGATTCCCATATCACGTGGAATATGTAGGCATGAGAATGATTCCAAAATGCATAATAATCAATCTGTGCCTCGCACCGTCTAACTAGCTCGATGACTGAGCGAAAAGTGCCCGATGACGATGACCTCTTCGATGCCTGGGACTCAACGAATGGCCTCGGACACCTGCCTTTTCAACTCGCTGGCTCCGCCCCTATATAATAATAATATATATAATAATGCGGTCGCAGTGATGAATATATGCGACTTTAAGGGGGTCTCGGAACCATGGCTCATGAAATCGGATGCCGTGTCGAGGTCACGGCTCTTCTTGTTTTGAGCCCATTCCCGGGTCGCGGGAAACGTCGTCGAGACTCTCCGCACACCCATGCTAGAGCGGCTCAAACCTATTCTTCTGGATGCTGAAAAAGAATAAGTCTTCCCGTCTGCGTCAAGCTCCCTGTTAAGCCTCTCAATTTCGGTGCTCTGGGCCATGCTGCCGGAAGGTAAGAGGCGCTTTGCGACTCCCGAATCCTTGATCGATGGTGCGTGTTCCCTTTCCAAATATCATTCGGGACGTATAGTCTGAGAAGCTCTCCGGATTAGCGCTCCTGGCATCACCGGCGTTCGGACTACTCGGTCAGAAGGGGACTCTCGTTGCCTTTACATGGACTTGGTTTGTCGCAGAGACTCGAGGCTGCGATTCGCGGACACTAAAGCCGTAGGAAGGAAGATACTTCCGATAGATGGAGTCAAATGCTGAGAGAACGGAAGACCGGCATGAATCTCGAAGAAGCGGGAAGTAACACCAGCTCCAGATTTTTTTTCGAGTTTTACCACTATATTTTCCTCTTTTTCCACGGTATGTTCATGATTCTTCGACGGTTAGACAACGACGTCGACGTTGCTGTCATTTTGAAAGTATGGAGTAGTTGAAGTAGTAGTATTGGAGTATTACAGTATGACTTTTCTTCATTCATTTCAGCATCATTTTTCTCCCTCATTATTATTCAGTAATATTAGCGTTCAGTAGATGAAGTAGTATTAGTAGTTGAATTAGTAGGAGTAGTAAGGTTCCGACGAATTCATCGAAACGTCGTCGTGTCGTCGGCGGCGACTCTGCGAGAGGCTTCGAGCTGAGCGCAATGATCGAGTACGTGACCCCGACAAACGGAAATAGTGTGGGTTCAGGCCGACCTTCCCCGGCTGCCATCGGACTCGATCGTCATCGACGCACTCATCGTTGGCGACTCAGCTCTCATTGTGGGCGCGAGGGCTGAATCATTCGAGCAAGCAAGAGCCCCGCGCCGCCGCCTCTCGCGACCGTCTCTAGCCGTCGTGGAATGACTAGCAGAAGCCGCTAAGATCGAGGATATGCTCAGCGGAGATTCCCTCTGGAGTTCATCTTGGTGTCGGGCTCGCGGCCAGCCGGACCCTCAGGTGATATACGGAGAGATCGGATCAAGCTGTAGCTTGAAGAATCCGCACTGGAGGCGATTTCTCCGGAGGAAAGGGCTCCGCCGTATCGAGTTGTTATTCTTAATCTCGGTCGGATGTCTTATTATTTGTTGTCGAGGTGGATGAAGAAAAGCTCATGCTTGGTTCGAGTGGCCGTTTCTGATTTCCTAGTTGAAATTAATTAGTTGCAGCCGTTCAGCAGATACCGTTGCTCATCGGCTTCGCCTAGCCCAGCGTTGACGATCAATCACAAAAGATGAAATCACTCATGTAAATCTAATCGTCGGTCGTGTTGATGTGTTGCTTCAAAGGAAAAATGGAACAATTTAGGACAGGTATCGATTCCAGCGTCGTACACACATGCTCTTAAGTTCACCTCCTGCGAGGCTTCTTGATGAATATCCCGATCGATTGGAGGCTACCTACTCCGGGGAAGTAAAGTGAATTAGAGGTCTGAGCGAGAGACTCACCAACGTTGATGCAGCACAGCATGTGTTCACACAGACAGTCGCTATGAGCTGCCTGGCTCGTTCAAATCGTTTGTATTCTCCCGCTCCATCACCACTGATCGATGATGGATTGGTGCGGAATCATCTGAAATTCCATTCGTAGAACAGTCAAATAACAGTCGCCAGACTCGCACCGTCTGAGCTGTGCTATTCTTATCCTCATTCGAGGGGAGTGAATCAGATGCTCTTTTTGCGAGAAGGATATAGGCTCGCAGCAACGGTTTTTTATTTCGAAGGAGGCGAGACGAGAGCTCTGATTCGAATCTCACCTCAAGTCGCGTATTCGACGTCATGTTCAAGCACTCCAGTTTCTGTCGAAGCCAAAAGGAAAATGATGCGTTTGCAACATCGATATCGTGATGCCTGCACAATTATCGTCTCAGTCTCGTCGGTGATGTTGTCGGCTGTAGGTTCAGTTGGTACTCAGGTGGTAGTTTGCGTCCGATTGGCATCATTCGCCATGAGCCGATGTCTGCTGGTCCGTTTACATGGATTCTCAAGTTTGTCCTTTTTGTTTGTGTGTCCTTTGTTGACTCCGTTTAGAGGAGTTTAGTGTCCTTTCCATTACTGACTTAGTAGGGGTTGATGTCCTTGGATCTAGTGTCTTTCTCTACAAAGGTAGCGCTTGTAGAAAAATCCCTGCAAGGTTGACAGACTCAAATGAGTGAGAGTCCCGGTCCCGAGCGACTCCCGGAGGTTTGGAGCTCCCTCGGCAGTCCGGGGCCTTCATTCCATCCAAATCTTGTGCTGTGGCCTGTGAAGGAGAGTTGGTGGAGTTTCCTCACCTCATTCAGTTCAAAGCCGTTGTCGAATCTTAGTCCGTAGATTCCTACTGACGTAAGCCATCCGTTTCGCCATACACTCTCAATATTACAGTGTCAGTTCTACAAACTGTCTTCGTTGAGTACAGTGCCGTCTCAGAGTAGAATAAGAAAAAGTTGGTTGATCCCTTTAACTAAGGGTTTGTTTTCCCTGCAAAGAAGAAAAATCCCTGTCGAAATCCGTGCACAGAATGATGGATAGTCGGCGTCGGCTGATGAAAACGCGTCCCAGACGAGGTTTTCCGGAAGCCTGACAACCGACGTTTTCCACGGAAACTTTCCGTTCCTTTCCCCCGCTCTCTCGTTTTCCTCGATCCGTACAGGACTGGCGAACGGTAATGCTTATGAAGAGATAATGATCAAGTTTCCCATATGAAAGGCATCTGGAGCTCATTTCCAGCCCGGCGAAAACGCCCTGACGGCCCATTTCTGAAGCCTTCGGGTTCGCGTCGGTACGGAGGAAGTCAGACGCAATTGAGCGGCTACCGAGTCATTGTTGCTTGGGGTAGGACCGCTCGAGTGCGAGGATCCGTCTCCATTCACCTTCGCATTATCGGGCGAGTCTTCTTTCCGAGCTCGAAAAAGGAGCCAGGAGAGCTGTCGACTCCAATCAATGGTAATGACGCCAACAATGGACAGCGACTCGGCCGGCTCGGCGCTCGCGCATGTGTGTAACTAGAACAAAAATGTCTCGTCCTCAGCCGTTTGCGCTCTATTTGAGGCGTCTGCGTCGTAAGACGCCCGACGAGGTAGCTTTGCCGTGAATTCTCGGAACGGACGCTGAGAAGTCGGGTTGAGCCCTCCGCAAGGCCTGGAACACATGCGGAACACGTCAGCATTTTTCAGAGCGAGCTCGCATAATTCACCAGTTGTTCCAGCTCCCCTTTCCGTCGAGGACTGATTAGACGCGTCAGCCTCGACAAGCGGAGGAAGGGTTGTGCTGCTGGAAATATTTCTCGCGAGCGTTATCACATTTACCCATCTCTGCCCACAAAGGAGGGAAGCTTGAAAGCGTAATTTCAGCGTGAAGATCCACCAATAAAAAAATCGAGTTCCGAGAATCGAAAAAAGCTGATCTCAAGCCTCACGGACTCGTGCTGAAAGCGTTCCGACCGCGAGATAAGGCAGGCATTGCTCGTAAGGGTAGAAAAAAAGAGAGTTCGGAACTCCCCGCCTCCGAACAGCGAACAGGAAACCCAAGGACTCGCCTGTCCGCATGGAGCGTATCCATATGGTCGCATATCACGTCATGGCGAAAAAGCGGTCGTGCGGGGAATCCGGGTCCATCTCGTTTCCCGAATGGCATGGCAACTTCAAACCTGATCACAGGAATCTTTGTCGGCGGCGGTGGCAACAAAACAGGCCACCGAATGCTGTGCAGCTGCTCTCCGCGCAGCGTGTTCCATCTATTCTGAACACACGCGAGGACGGTGGCAATATCGCCGTAGCTGTCAGCAGAGCGCTTTCTCTGTTCCCCAGGGGCGGCAACAGGGCATCAAAAGCCTCTGCGGGTTGCTGCGGTGGACGTTTTGACCAAATTGGAATTTTCGTTCCCACGACTCGTCGTTCTGACACATCGATGAAGTCGTGGACGAGCTTTTTCCGGCTCGGGGAACTGCCCCTGTACGAGAGAGCGCTCCTCATTCGTTTCATTGGGAGGAATATTCCCCACTTCTAACCCTCCCTTAACCATATCGCTCGTAGAAGCAATGAAACCGCAGTAAAACTATCAGGCGGGGGGAAAATTCCCGGGGTTTTGCGAGTTTATTGCGGGACTCGCATAATCGGTGCGAGTCGGCTCGCTTTTCCTGCTCTATAGACCCCGGAGTGAACTTATCATCGTAGGGCTCCGAACTTCCGAGTGTGATGGCGTTTTTCCCGTGGCCAGACCACGTCAAGTGGTATTGTGAACTCACCATTCTAGTGCCCTCTTGGAGATTACGACCTTCGTTTTTCTGGGTCGCCTTTCAACATGTGTCCTTTCGTTCTTTATACTTGTAGTCCATACTTAAGTCCTTAATGCCAAGTAGTTTTCCGTGTGTGTAAGTCTAGCGGGGCACTGGAAAAGGCAGTCAAATGGATGTTTTGGGGACGGATAAATGGATAAATGGTCGTCGCGAGACGGGTCTACTCCACAGGAGCGATTCAAGCGAGTGAGCTGACGGCTTACCTTTTTATTTGTCCTCTTTACCCTCCTCGGGGTCTTTGAGGGAATGCCATTGGGCTATAGGCCGCCTAGGCGAAGCCAGCATGTCCATCCAGTGGCGTAGTTCGGTGCCAGTGGCGTTGCAGCCCAAGACCACCTTGCCAATGGGGTCTGATGTACCGATTCGATCGTAATCGGTCACGGTGACAACGAGTTGCACTTTCTGGATCTGTTCGAAGGGCACTTCGAACGAGAACGATTCGTTGTAGTAGGGATTGAGTGTACACTTCTTAATACTGGTCTTCTTTTTCTTCAATCGTTTCCCGTTCATCATCAGTACGATCTTGACGTAGGGGTCGGATAGACCGCCGACGTCCATTTTTTTGAGGTTTTTGGCTTCAAGAATGACGACAGTCAGTTTTCCGGCAGTTGGTACGTAGCGGAGAGTGAAGCAAATGTCCCCGAGCACTTCTTTGTCGTTATCGGCGCTCGTCAGATCTCGCCATTCTTCGATGGTCTGGGCGAGATCGATTGAGTTCATCGGGATTTTCACTTCTCCGATTTGGTCGTGTTTGCCGAAGCGGTCAAAATCAAAGACCGCGAATACCAAAGTTTTGGTAGTGATCTCAGCGTATGGTACCTGCAGAGAGAAAAATCGAACGATGAAGGGAGGGCAATCCGAAACATCTCATCGAATCATCGCACCATATCAACAGAGAATTTTTCGCCCACCTTAAAATTGAATGTTTCGTTGAAAACAGGGTTCAGCGATTTGCGGTGGACTTTGGTCTCGAACTTCTTCTTTTTGTCCGGGAGGAGGTAGACCTGGGGGCGAAATATCGACTCAGTGGGCTGTCCGCAAAACTCTGTATCCAAATGCATCGAGAGTCACAGCGGAGCATCTGGTCACCTTGACGTATGGATCCGAGGTTCCTGACATGTCCAGGGCAGGAAGTTCCTCGGCTTGGATGACGGTGGTCGCCAAGTTGTTGGAGTTGAAATCATAGTCGAGTTTGAACTGTAGCCGACCGAGTTTCTGTTCCTCCTTCTGTTCTTCTCCTGCGGTCTCGTTCTCCTCCATGTTGTCCACCAACTCCTCGCCATCTGGTTGGATCTGCGAGGGAATCGAGTCAGAAATATTCCGCACGTCATCGATGAGCGATAATGCATGGGCTCGGATCATGAACTCCATCGGCGGCGCTCATCCGCCGCTCGCGAATGTGAACTCACCCCTGTTAGATCAACAGCACCCTTGAATCCTTTTTTGTCCTTCCTTCTGCGCTTGTTCCACCAGCGTCGTAGACACAATACGGCGATTCCGACGGCAGTCACAATGATGAGGAGGAGGATGGCGACTACAACCGTTGTAGACGCTGCAGCACACGGACCCAACTGTTAGCATACCGACACCATCAGGATCATCCCGGGGTCCTGCTCACGGCAGAAATTACTCACCACCCGTGAGGTCAGACGTCTCTTGTACAACCGTGTTGATTCCCTCCATCGGTCCGCCTCCTTCGGGGACGGACGCCTCAGTGGTGACATCCTTAGCATCTTTGGCACCTGCACCCACAGCAGCCACGACTGCTGCACCTGCGGCAGCACCTCCAGCAGCCGGGGCGCTGCTGGCCGTCGGCTCAACACCGCTCGGTGTGTCCTGAGCCTGAACGAAAAGACGGAAAGACAGTTAGATCGAGCGGGAGGCAGTCGATGATAGTCTTATGACGGGCTCGGCAATTCCTCTCCTGTGCTCGTCGAACTCCGGGTCAGACGCTTAGTTCGAGCCGATCTGACATCTGGTCGGCTTCCCACGATTTCCTCGGATCTAGCGAGACAACCCGATATTCGGGGCCTTCAGCAAAAGTGAGGCCATGCGCTGGCCCAATCAAAGTGGCAGCTCAGGCTACCACGACCGCGAGCCGCCAACACGCTGGAAATCCCTCGAGTTTGTCACAGAGGGACTTCCGAGAAGCGATCTCTACGCTTATTTCGGTCGTGTCGTCAGCAATGACTCGATGAGTCGCACTCTTAGTCGAAGAGGGGGGACTTACCATGAGAGAGACTTTACGATTGGATGTTCAAGTTCGAAGTACAGCAGCTTATGATTATTTCTCGGTTGACCTGCAATGGATGGTTTCCCAACGTCACCGCGAGTCGTAAATCAAGCGTTTCTACGCGATAGCGCGCACATGTCTTTCTCCAATAATTGTACTCGTTTGATTGGTAGCTCTCCGACCGTGAGCGGCCATGTTCGGAGGCTGAGCAGCATTTTAGAAAAAGCGTGGAATCAGCACTGTCCGCCTCTCGGGCTTTCGGAAACTCTGGAATAACACAGGGAGTTCCGACAGAGGCTCTCACCTTAGAAGAAGCGATTTTTCGACGACGTTGAAGCGTTGCGTAGCGTTCTTAGAAAAGCCTTAAGGCGTTCGTCACTCGGAATGGGGTCCGCGCAGAGTTCAGAACTCCCGTGAAAAAGAAGAACTTGGGCCGTTCCTCCCGAAGGTGAAGCGACTTGCTGGCGTCACTGCCAAGCTGGAGATCGCGCTTATCCACTTCTTGATGTAATAGTCACGGATTTTGAGCGATATTTAATTCGCCATATTTTGGTTCTCTGCTTTCGCGAGCCACCATCCGATCTCTAAAGTTCGTACTGCAAGACGCCCTTCACCTCTACGCTCGGCCCTCTCCATAAGGGCCCCCGAAGTTTCACGCGCCGCAATTCCCGCGTATCCCGGTTCTATTTAGAGGCGAAAAAGACGACCCGACTCCTGGCCATTGTTTAGAACTTTTGCATTTCTATATGTTGTCTGTATTGCTTCAGGTGGAAGTTAAAAAACGTTATCCGCATTCGTGCTTTGACGAAGCTTCTATGTGCAGAGCAGATGGAGCGCAAGAGCCGCGGAGCCTGGGGCCTAGGGCCTTCATGGCAAGATGGCCACCGTCGCAGAGTGCGCACGCGTCGCCACTCCGGGTTCGCAACGGCGGACTCACCACCACGACAACACTCGGAGAAGAGCAGCTCGAAGAGAGAAACCGAGGCTGAGAGAGAGAAAGGGTCCCCAACCGGAGCTGTGAATGCACTCGCGGTGCAAATCGATCCCAAGGGCGATTACGGTGGTGCTTCAAGAAGGGAATTAGTGGTGAAGCTTATCCCCGGAGGGAAAAATGCTGTTCTGTTCCTCGTTCCCTGGAATCACGGATATTCTGAAGAGCTCAGTCTCCGCAGCGTTGAATTTATCGTATCTTGGTCACCGCGGGGGGGGGGGGAGGGGAGAGCCTACGCAACATCTTCGGAGGGCTGGAAGAGCCGCGTGTCGAAACTTATTATATCCTCGAGGGTGAATTGATTTTCCCCCAACAGTTGCCCCTCATCCATACAAAGGAAGTTCAACCCATAAGCTCGACACCTGATGCGCTCTTACATATCCTCTCAGGTAGCTGAACCTCGGGGGCCGACTCTGACGTACTGGCTCGTCGAGGTATAAGACATCGCTCCCGAGGATGGATTAATAATGCAAATGAGCCCGGATGGATTATCACAGGGGGGGGGGCTTCCCTCGAGCTGGGACTTAGAAGAGGAAATGCACGTGCCCCTTCGACATTGCAACGCGATCACGCATCGAATGGCACCGGATGCCCTGAAGTGAACGAATTCCAAGCTCCCTCAAATCATCGGTAGTGTTGAAAATATTCCAAAAATGATGCTCAAGCGTCGGTACGGCTGGCAGCCATGCCAGCGATTGACCATTTACGTGGCCATTAGGTAGTATGGGATCTTCGCGGCCAGTTCCAAGAGATCGCCCGGCTTTTCTCTAGGTCATGCGATCATATGGAAAGTCATACGAGTAGTCATACGAGTAGATTGTGATGTGATTTTCTTCCAATAGATAGATCGACTCAAAAATCGGGACTGTTTCCTCGCGTGAAGTCTCGACACGAGAAGCGGAGGAGAGCTCCCGAAGCCTCCGTTGCCGGGTGCCAGCTTTGCTATTCTACGACCCGATCCCCGGATCTAATCCGATCTGCATTCAATGCGATCGGTGGTTTCTTCACCTGCGCAAATCCCGATTCCTTTCGAAATCGCGATCTTTTTCCATTCGGACTCCAAAGGTGCGCGATTCACCCTCTCTCCCTCCCAGAGCGTTACCGAAAAATGAATCTATCCGCTTCCGCGAAAACAATGCAGCTGCTGTGAGCCCGACACCGGGTTCTCACTCGGTCGGAGATCATTTTTGGAGAAGTCAAATTGTCGACCTCCATTTACTCCACTTGGGGAAGACTCCGGTTGATCATTCTCTCCCGTGCGGAGGCTCTCCTTGTCACCTGTGGCTTGGCTGTTGGGTGAACACGGGGATCCGTTCTGGGGGATTCACCTAGATGATAATAACCTGTTGGAGTCCTATCGATTGCCTGCCCCTGCGACCTACTTCCCTCAGTGTCTACAGTCGGGCTCCTGCGTAGAGCCCTTCGCCAGACTGTCGATATGCGCTCGTCTTCCAGCTCTGAAGCAGCTCCTTAAGGTCACCTGCGGAAATGCTCTGAAGCTCGCTCTCGTCGCCGACCAATGTGATTCGGGGAACGATCTCAGGAACAGGAGCAGCGAAAATTGGGTCTCCCAAATATACTCGCGAAACTGGAGGTCTCCTTCGGATCGTGCGTCGGATCGTTGACCTGACGGCGGCCTGTTCCGGATGCAGACTCCCGTGTCCGACACTGAACATTACTGACGTCTCCGACGAAATCTGACGCTCCTTGCCAGCACCGATGACACGGAGCGAGCAGGGCGGATCGCTAATGGGACCGGATGCTGTATCACTGTCGCTCAGGAGTTTATTCCGATGAATTTCGGAGCCCCACTAGATATTACCTTCAACAATCTGGACTTTAGAGCTCAGCACGAAGAGCATAACCGAATTCTCGTTGAAATTCTAATTTTGCTGGAGGATTCCGAATATTAGACTCGACCTTACCAATCGTCATCCTCTCCGAGCGAAGCCGCAAAATTCACTACACTGATGATTGATGGCTGTAGGCGATCCTCATTCGGACTTCTATACAGTCAATGCGAATTAAAGAGCTTGCGCGCGGGAATGTCACCTGTTAATCCGTCAATGAGAGGGGCAGCTCTCGCTGACGTGATTGATTTACGTACGCCAAGCCTGAAACAAATGCAGGGCCTAATTCGATCCCGAGCCACGCTTCCTTCGGAAGAATATTTACATAAGTAAATTGTCTCTCAACACGTGGTCTTTCGTTCAGCCCGCGCCCTGTCGCATTACGGGATATCCTCGAAGCTCATTCTTATTGAAAATACATTCTGCTTTTGAAGTTCTCGGATTTCGATGATGAAATCCGAGTAGTAGGTCCGGTTGCCCGGGAGAACCGTGGCGGGTGGACGAGCGCTTTGTTAGAACAGGAGAGCTTCGGAAATTGGCTTTATATTGGCTCGTGCCTCGAGATCTGCACTTCCGACGTCCACGGGTGATCAACGATGGGATGCGTGGACTGCATTCCGCCCCCAGCGGAGCCAGGTCTGGAGTGAAATTCTCGCGGATCACGCTCGGTTTCTCCGTATCGACCTGTAATATTCCTCTTTGCCTGATGTCTGATAACTGTTGAATATATTGATCAATCCGAAATCGCGTCGATAGATTCGAGGTAATAGCCGGAAGGCTCCGTTGCAAACTCTCCAGTAGCGATGGACAAGAGAAGGGTTGCCGCAACGAAATAATTCTCCCGATTTCCTCCGGCTTCGTGCTCTATCATTTATCTCGAGACGATTGAGAGATTCCAGACCCGGAGACTCAAACCCCTGCGACCGATTTCCATCAGGCGATGAGCTTTTCGGATTTATCTTTTGTGGAAGCTGTTTTGTCAGACATTTCCGGAGTCGAGGTGAACTGGGGTTGCCAGTCCAGAGCTGAACAGAGTAAACACAGAGGAGCTCTCGATTTCGAGATCGTGGAACTGTAGAATCTTCCCCGAGCTCGAACCTGCTTATTCGGCAGCTATTGTGGAGAAGCCGTGGGCGGTGGAAGGCTTGTAGAGAATTCCAAGAATTCTGCATTCAAAATCGGATCACAAACGGCGAGTGTACCTTGCGAAACCTCGACGGCATCGGAAGTCGGTCGCGCGAAATGGCAAGAAGAGAGCAGATTTCGAAGAGAACCAAGGTAGGTCGTAGATACCCATATCCCGAATCGCGGTTGCGTTTCGTTGCTCGCACGTGTTCCAATCGATTTGAGAGAACACTGCTCTGAACATCGACCCCCATAGAAGAACACAGAGGGTATGACATCCGTCTGCCCGATAGGATAGATTTCGGCGGCGATTCTGAATGAGAGACTACCCTGAAACACAAAACTTCGGTCAGACTAGCTTCCCAACAACACGCCCAGGATCCACGCCCAGATGAAATATTTCCAGAGCGCTGGCCTTCTGGAGATACACGTGCTGAATTCCCCAGAGGAACAGAGGAGCGACCGTATACATATGTGCTAATGACTCCACGCGGAAGGGTCTCGAAGTTTGCTCTCCGAAGGCTGCGAGGAATCGAAGCCGACGAATGACTCCTCTCTCAGTCACTTAGACTCTCCGTTTCCTTCGGAAAGCTCCGCCTGAAACTGTAGCTTCATGCAGAGCCTAATGACGTGCCACGGAGTACACGAGTTTTCAGCGAGACGAACCTGCCGGTGGGCCATCATGTTCTACCTAGCTCTCGTTGAGTATCTCTGGAGCTGGCTTGGTGAAAGCGCGAGATTCAAAGGTTTCAAAACCTGTCGACTGAACATGGCGATGTAGTGATACTATGATACATACATATAAATACATAGATGCAAACGGAGTAAGAAGCATCGCGAAAACCAACGTTCATCCGAGCGAGATCGTCAGTGTCATTCCCGACTTAATCGCTTGGGTCTGTTCAGAGCTCGTTCCGAGAAAAGTGCCTCATCAGGGGAAATTTACGGACATACGGAGTCCGTACAACGGACCAATTTGGTGGAGTTCCACACCGCGAGTCCAAGCCACACCTTGAGTCTCTGACTTCCAGTGTAGACTCTCACGGCAACGTACAGCGCTCGACCGATACTCCCGGCGCGCCGCGGCGCGGTGCTCGGTTGCTCTAAAGCTCATCACGGAGTCGGAAGGACAAGATGAGATCACAGAAATATTCCAGCCGAAAATTGTCGCGAAAGTCACTGCTCTCCCCGAGCAATCGGACGTGGAAGAGGGAAACATACGTTATTCCTCCTTCAGTTATGAAATTTTCTTCTGGGGAGCTTCCTACTGGCGTTATTGTTTTCTCCATCGCGATGGATACGAGTGTATCGAGGCTACAGCTCATCACGCATCAGGGAGCGTGCAGGCTAGGAACGATGAATCGTTCGATTTTACAGCCTCAGTCAGCCCTACAGAAATGCGAACCGCAATAGCTGAGTTCCGATAGTGCTTATCGTGTATCAGCAGAGCCGCTGATCCCTTTCGTCGAATCGTTTCCGAGGCGAAGATCTCGAACATCGCCCCCCTGATCCGTGAATTCCACCATGGGAAGAGAGCGAGCCAATAAGAGCGGAGGTCCTGGCGACGCGACCTTTCTCCCAACCGCATATTCCGCAGGCGCATCTTGAGAGCACTTGCTAAAGACCACCCCGTGGCGGAGTGAATAATAACGCTCGACGAGCGGCGAGGAGGTTCTTTGCCGTCTTTACGTATTCTATATGCCGCGACGGATGAGCGCAGACGGAACGTCCGTCGACGACTCGATTATCAGTCCAAGCTCTGATTGACACTCCTAGAGGTTCAGCAAATCGTTTCCGTGAGGTTTTCAAAGATTGTGAAGTGGGTCTCTCTGACTGAGAAAGGTGAGTCGAGTAGTCGAGTTCGAATCAGGCCCCTCTCGGTTGTCGATCGTCGAGCTTTTCTCTCCATTTCTTCGATTCTTCTCTTTGAGTCGGAGATGGCCGGGGCGCTCCCTCGATCAGTGAAGCAGTTCTGGACACTCACTTCAATATTCCTTCAATCGGTGTCTCATTGAACTCCTGACAAAAGGCCGGCCCCCACTCCTTCTGGTTCGGTTGTCCTGAAGCCGACTTCCCGGCTCATGTGCCAGTCGTCACGGCTGGCTCGATTTCTAAAGTGACAGCCCTCGTGGTTGAGAGCAGACTCGGAATTTTCGCGGTCATAGTTTCGTCATGTGTCGAGGAACGAATGGAAATATATTCCTCGATTTCGATTCACATCGATTGTTGATATTTTCGCACAGAGTAGTGATCTCGGCCTTGATCATGACAGAGTTCTCGCGCGGGGTGATTCCGAGAATCGGCCTCGGAGTTAGCCGAGAAATGGAACTTTTGGTTAGCGATCTCTGCGTGTTTCAATGACGCACCGAAGCACGGCTCGCTCGTCCTTCATCTTCCATCATTAAGCTGATGATGGCTGATCGACTCTTCCGTGATTCGACTCTCACCTGGAATGTTTCCGATTGCCCCACGCTTGCCAGTGATTCTGTACATGAGTGCCGGGGAACACTATATCTTTTTACGATCAATCCGAACATTCATGTCTCTTCTGTGCGTCCAGTTTGATAATCGCTCACGGTGATGGTGGCTCTCGGAATGTACCACTTTATTATCTTAGAGAGCCGATTGGGTTCAGCGCTGGAAAATATATTGGAGCCGTCTGTGGAGTAAGGATTGTCAATGAAGGCTGTCTCTGAATCTCGACGGCTGCTGTAAAGCATCAAGCATTCGCTCACGGTCGATAAGCGTCGAACTATTGCCAGGCAATAAAGTTTGTGTTCAAAGTATCATTCAAATGGCGAGCGACGGCGAGAATGCTGCTCTTCTGGTGCAAGGTAATTTCCTTTACCCCGCTGCGGAAGGTCCATGCTCAATCTCTCCGGAGTATTTCTCGCTCGAAAAAATCATTTCACCGAATTATCCCCCGAATATCCCGCGCCGTTCTATGCCAGGAATCAGCCGGAGCTCTATGGTGCTGAAACATCCCCGGATTAGCGAAACGAACCCTTTCCAATGTCCCGACAGGAAGAGATATGAATTTAATCTGGCGGCTCCACTCGATGGACCACGGTCAACGAACGCCATCTGGGAACTCGGAGGGAGGGAAATTTCCCTTAGGGCCGAGGCTCCTCAGAAACTCCGGAAAGTTCATATTTCATGGAGCGATCCGCTCCTTCTTGATGCAATTCCGCCAGTCGCGGGTGTATGAGCTTCTGAGTCTCGCAGCGGATCAGGAAACAGACTTTCGAGACTCGGTGTATCGCTCTCCTTCCGGAGTCACAAGGGAGGCATTAATGTCAAGAATCAAGGGGCGATTAATGACCACTCTGTACACGTCCTTGCCGTGTTAGGAAGGTTTCAATTCTACAGCTCGAAGAATTCCATTCTCCTGAACGATTTTCACGGAGCGTCAAACAGATTCTAATTCGTTTGGAGTGACAACAACCGATTCGGTGTGCTCCCGCGAAGTCGAGCTTTCAAACTTGAAGCGAGTCGCGGTCATGATTGCGGGACAGAGTGCGGAATCGAAAAGGAGCAGGTCGCTAGCTACAGAGAAGAGAAGTAGGTCGGGACACTAGCCCCAAGCTCTCTTTGAATTGCTCTTGTACTAGCATCGATCCTGGTGGGAGGATCAGACGGTGACTTATTCTCGTCACTGTTAAGAGTTCTTGCGCAGGAGCTGGAGAGCAAATAGAGTGGAAAGCTTTTGGTCCGTCCTTCTCAGGAGTACTTGTGTTTGGGGCAGAAGCCTCAGGCTGCCCGAGCGTTCTCTCAGTTGGAGTGTCTTTGCCATCTGCATGTCCCTATCGACTGGATCGTCGATGTTATTGTCACAGAGTTTGTAGGTCCCGAACGTCGTCGACTAGCTGTTGTTATGCAATCCTCATTACTTGGGATGGATGAACAGACGCTTCAACATAATCGAATACTCCGCTAATGTCAAATTGGGCCGCGTTTACGAAACATCTTTGTCGGCAGGGCATTGCGGCGGTCCTCGTTAGCCCGATGAGTTCCGATTCTCTCCGATTCTCTCCGATCGGGGTTTCTGCCCTCTGTGGATGCCTTCCGGGGTCACGCATCCCGACTCATGCTGCGAAAAAGAGCCCGAGCTCGTTGTTGCGGATGTGATGCGAATACACTCGATTATTCCAGACTTCCGGCTTACCTCCCCCTCCTTCCACGGATACGTTCGTTCGGAACGTTCGTTCGGGCCGTTCGTAGCGATCCGTACGGTGCCAGAGATTAATTGCGAATGTGATTTCTCGCTAGGATTCGAGCTTATCTAACGCATCCTTTTGCATCGCGCCCTGAAGACCGATGGCGAGAGCACGCTCCTCAAGCATCTAGACTCCCCGAGTTTCGAGCTTACGGCCAATCATTATCCAATGCTCGTCATGCAGTCGACAGTGATTATTCAGGATCCCGATTCGAGCGGAAACTGAGGAGAAGAAGGGATTCCCAGACGAGATCCGGGCTCAACCGAGGGATTCTGCCGAGCTTGACTATTCCCTTTCGGACTTTCCGTGGTTGTCAAGCTTGCCATATGGGCTGCTTCAGGATGACATGAATCCGACTGTCGCGATTCGTTGTTTCATCTCGTCGTCAGATTTCTCGCGGAGTCATCTCCCACTGACCAATCATATCTTCGCACGCAATACCTCGGTGGTTTCCCCTTGTCCTCATCCGGAATCCAAGGGAACAAAATCCATGTAATGGAAGCAGCACAGCGCCCTTCGAAAATCTAGAGCTAATCAAGTGAATGGGAAGTTCCTTGCTCTTCCTCTCGATAGTGTCGTGAAGGAGCTTGTTAATCATTGACACGGCCATCTATCTTGGGCTCCGATACGGCGGAACGGAGGAACATTCCGGGAACCCCCCAGTTTCCCTTCTCGATCTGAGCGGGAAGAGACGCTCACTAGACGGATCAATGACCTAGTGAATCTTTTTCAGAGTCTCCAAGAATGTCCACCCTCCAACGCGTCATAGCCAACGCTGTTGCCGCGGTCGATCGTGCGGGAAGAATCGTTAAGGTAAGGCGAAGAAGATATTTACGCCCTGAGGACTCCTAGCAGACAGAGGAGCTCGAAACTACGATTTTCCAATATTTGAAAATCCTGTTTGGCAGGAGGTTCTACACTCTGGCTCGTTGGGGATCATTGACAAGGCACAGGATGACCTGCAGACAGAAGCGGACCGCAGCGCCCAGAAGTGTATCGTAGCCTCGCTCAGCAAAAGCTTCCCGCGAATGAAAATTATCGGGGAGGAAGGGTGAGTCGATTTTTTCTCCGGATGGGGCTTGGGAATGGGGCCCGGGGACGGGGGCCTGGGGAACGGGGCCTGGGGGATGGGGCCTTGGAATGGGGCTTGGGCCGAATAATCGCTCGCAGAGTTGTTGTTCCTGAACCTCATGAGAATTCGTCACCGACAGCGCTCAAGAAGGAATGGCTGCCAAGGACGATTGGATCGTGAAGGAGCTTGATGGCGCAGTACTCAAGGAAACGCTGCCCTCTGACCTTGCAGGTGAGTTCCCGAGTCCCGAGGGAAGGGAAATCTCATGGGGGAAATCTGTCCAGAACTAAAACTGCGCCGTTGACGCGAGGCTCCGTCGACTGCATTGCTTCAAAGTAGGCAGTTTTCTCGTCGGGAGCGTTTTCGCGCTAGATCCTACATGGAACGTGGAACGATGTTGGGGATTGGGAAGAATAGATCATGGTCTCCATTTTGAATCACTGTAGAGCATCTCAGGCGTGAACCTGCCGATGATCGGCCTGGAAATATTTTCCGTAGGTCGAGTCGTTGCGGAGTGAGCTCTGACCTCCGAATCCCTAACTCGGAATGGTTTGCACTGGCAGTAATTCCGCGTGAGGTGATTCCAAGTGTTCTAACCGATCCGAACCCAATAAATTCTCGTTAGAGCATGATCGTGTCAGTCTCTCATTTTCCTCCATCCTCCCTATTGGTAAAACGCCCAAGCGCACCGACAGAGCTGTTGATGCTGAAGCTGAGTGGTTCATCACAGGCGTGGACGAAAAAGACATTGTTTGCTGGGTCGACCCACTCGACGGCACCAAGGAATACACTCAAGGTTTGTTGGATCACGTCACGGTCCTCGTCGGTTTTGCCGTTGGAGGCAAAGCTGTCGCCGGGGTAGTGCATCAGCCCTTCTACAATTACACCAAGCAGGCGGACCCATTCAAGCAGGGCCGAACCATGTGGGGTGAGTATACAATGACGAGGGAGACCGTTCTAGCCTGAGCCGCAATGCATTGATGCGCCTCCTCGAAGAAAAGACCCAGAGCCCAACCAACCTTTCCGTCGTAGGCATTGTAGGGCTCGGGGTGCGGGGAATCACTCCCGCGGTGCCAGCAAGCGGGAAGATAATCACTACGACGAGATCGCATTCTTCGCCAACGATCAACGCTTGCATTGAAGCAATGAAACCGACTGAAGTGATCAGGGTTGGCGGCGCAGGACACAAGGTGAACACAGCTCCATCAGGCCTAAAGGGGCTTCCGTCCCTCGCGATGGCTTCTCACCACTTATTCCTCTATTTATAGGTGTTGCTCCTGATCGAAGGTCAAGCGCACGCTTACGTGTTCCCCTCGCCCGGATGTAAAAAATGGGACACCTGCGCTCCAGAGGCTCTCCTCGAAGCGGCTGGCGGCGCCCTGACCGATATTCACGGGAGCAAGATCCTGTACCACGCAGATGTCGATCATCCCAACTGGGGCGGAGTTCTCGCCACCTGCAAGCGCGATTTGCTGCCACAGTATCTCCGAGAGGTACCGGAGAGCGTTCGACAGGCTCTCCCAGTGCTGGGGCAGAAGCTATAGAACGGAATTAGAATCATGAAAGCACCACATTCCGTCTCCAGTCGGACTAGTTGTTATTCAATTCGAAAGAAATATCGAATATATATTTTTCTCGCTTCGAAATAAATATTTTTTAATTGGAACGAAAACCAGGTGTTCGTATAGGATATAGAGAAGTGTTCGTTTATTACATTAAACACACTGGTCGCATGGGAAACATGCGTACCTTGATTAAGGGATATCGGTTTCTCCGGCTTTGCCGGAACGTCAAAGATTTTGGTCTACTACGTTAAATACAAGGAAAAGTTCTATTGGGATTTAAATCAAATCAACATCCAATAAATACAAATAATGCCACCTAAGTGACGAAATGAATATTTAGCCGTCCAGGATCCAGTCATGTTCCTCCATAGAATAATCGTTGGTACGGTAAGAATCAAAGAACGATCCGGGTCCAGGTTCGACGGAGTCATTAGTTGTGTTCAGGTTCAGCTTCGTCTACAAATCATCATCGTCCTCAGATCCATCTTTGTCTCGAGGTTTATGTGGGTCTTCAAGTTTTTCTTCGTCCTTAGGTTCATTTCTTGCTTCGGGTGCCGGAATGAAGGCTGACATTTTCGGTAAACTCGACGCTCTCGGTCTCTGCATCCCTGCATCGATTCGAGTCGCCCGAGGACGCATGGGCGGTGATTCGAGACTTCTTCGGCGATCCGGCATATTGATTGTCGCGAACGGGTTCAGTGTCCCTCCCGGAGACCCACCGGGAGCCCCGACGAGCTGCGTGTTATCGTCTTGCTCGTCATCGATGCGAGCCCCGGGCAGTCTGTGGGGGCTCTGATCGTCGTTTGAGAGTACGAGCTCGAGTTCGTCGGAATCTTCGTCGAGCCCTTCCATTGGTCGCGGGAGGATGTTCGCCTCTGCGAGCCTTTCCGCTGTGTCTCCCACGGCATCTTCTCCAGCGGACGGCCCTCTCGAAGGTCCTCCTGGTTTCAGTGCGGAATCCTCGTCGGAATCCTTCGCAAGTTCCATTTCCCAATCGGCATCTTGGTCTCCACACTCAGGCTCGCGCCCCTCCGGCCTCTGAGCTACGGAGGGAACGTCGCGAGCTGGGAAGGGACCTCCAACGTGACTCGAGGTCATGTCACGGCGTCCGTCAAGGGGCCTCTTAGGCCGGTCCCCATCATCTGCTAGGCCCGCGCTAGAGGCGGTGACCGACGAGGCGGTATCTCCCGAGACCTGACCGCATCCCGGAGGAGAACCTAGCTCCATGGGCTCTACGGAATCTGATCCGGCCGAAATTACCATCTCTGAGCTATCATCAGTATTGGGATTCTTGGGCAGGGCTGTAGGGTAAGAGCCGTCGCTCGTATCTTCGGACGGGGTTGTAGTTTCGCCGGAAGTTTTGGAGCTACGTTCAGAGGGGTCAGAGCGGTCGCTCGTATCTCCTGACGGAGCGGTAGCGTCCCTGGAGCTTTCGGAGCTGTCGGAGGGGTCGGAGCCGCTGCTCGTATCCTCGGAATTGACGGTGGTGTAGCCGGAATGTTTGGAGCTGATTGAGGGGGTGGGGCTGTCGCTGGAATCTTTGGTAAGGACGGAAGGGGCGTCGCCAGATTCTTCCGGATCGTCTGCGGGGTCAGAGTCGTCGCTGGGATTCTGTTCTGGAACGCGACCTTCGATTCCGGAGCCTTGCCTGCCCTGATATCCACTTGGTCCGGGTTTTTCACCGTCCTGATTTCCACTTGGTCCGGGGTTTTTCCTGTCCTGATTTCCAGCTTGTCCGGGGTCTTGCCCGTCCTGATTTCCAGCTTGTCCGGGATTTTGTGTAACCCACGGAGCTACGTCGCGCGGGAGGCCGAACGGGTAAGCGAGCGTCAGAGCCTTGAGATTTTCTCGCTGCTCTCGATCGCGTCGTCTATATCTAATGTAAACCCGCGCCACGAACTGCTTCCGTACGCTATGTTTCCGCATTCGCTCTCGTGGCATTCTTTTCCCGAGCGCGAACCAGAGAGCTCGGTAAACATCCAATTTGCTGACCCGCGACCTGAGAGAGCGGCGTGATGGAACCTTTAGAATCATCCTAGATTTCGGACTCGATAGGAACACTTAGTAGACGTATTACGTGGCTCGCCTTTCATCATGGGATCGGATCTTCCGAAGCATGAATCATCGGATACCGCTCGGATAGGACGAGAAAAAGGACCTGTGAGATCAGGCATATGACAGATCGGGGGACACGGGGGGTATTTACCTTCTCGCCTGGAAGGAAAAACGAATCGCCTGTTCTTCGACGATTCGGACGAAATTGTCGACGAGTTTCCTATCGGTCTCGGCTCTAGTTTGCATCGCGTTCGGAGCCTCCGGATCCTTCCTCGGTTTCCTCGGGGTCGCCATTCTCGCTCGGAAGTTGTTGATGACACAAAGGACAGAACTCGACTTTTTCCCCGTCACAAATCGGCTCCTCGTTTTCGACACCCTGCTCACAAACCGGACAAGGGAAATGTGCACGTACACGTGAAGGAGACCGCGCGACGTTTGGAAGACGCGTAGTGAGCGACGCAGGTGACGCGTTCGCGTTTGGTGGGTGTGCGACACGCAAGGCTCCCGAGTTCGGGAGGAGCTGACCGTGCCTTCTCCGCTATCAATCGCCATCCGGGGAAATGCGTGAAGATATGGGAACCCTAGATCGAGCTCTCGCCCTGTCTCGATCAGGGATCTCTGCTCCACGGGAAGGAAGGTGCGAGGTTGCAACCTCCCGTGAATTCATTCGAATGGATTCCCAAGTCGGAAGTGAGCCAGTGTTTCGACATCTGTTCCGAGATTAAGAACGACGCGACGGGTCTTTCTCTTTGCGTCTCGTACTTCAGATTTGAGTTTCTCGGGGTTAATTCTCCCAAGATGATCCAGGGAGAGCTTCTCCGCTGTCTGCGAGCATTATAGGTAGTGTGAGACAGAGTGGCATTCTTTGATAACAAGTGTGATCGTGTGTCTGTCGGGCTCCTCCTGGGAGACGATTGATGCTGCTAAATCCGTTGGAAGGAAGGACATCGATGCGGCTCGATTCTAGCGGTCTGGATACTGATCCATTGTGGGATCCGCTGAGCTATGTCCCCCTTGAGGTGAAAATGAAGAGTCGTGAGATGCAATACGAGTGGCCCGACAGAGCACAGTCAGAGGTTCTCATAGTTCCTGCCTCACGAGCCCTACGATCAATTATTCGATGATATGCTCCCTGGGAAAATCTACACATGGGACTTAAGTCGGCCCGCCAGTGCAGAAACCATGGGCTCCATGGGAGTCATGGCTGCCTCGGTCAATCGAAGGCAATGTCCATCTCCTCCTTAGCACCACGTTCGGAACAGATTCCTGTCCGGGTTTCTCGACGCTAACATCACTTCCTCGTGAGTGAACTGTGAATGAATCTGGGGCAAGTGCCGCGTCGAGCACATGAGACTCGTTTTGTCCCTTTCGAGAACGGCACCTTCGCCTAGATGCCTCACCCGGTTGAAGGGAAATAGCAATTCGTTGTCGATTTCATTCTGAAAACTAGGGGTTATTGAACCGCTCGAGCAGATCGGAATTTGAAACCATGGAACTCGGTGAGCTTGCTGCGGGCGCTTCCTTGGTGGAGCACTACGATTCGACGTGGGTGCAACTTCCGGAAAGGACTCTCGATAGAGGGAATTCTCCCTGCGGCGAGTCGAACCGATACAGCGAGCCTGTTAAGCTTCCGAAACTGATCATTACCTTCATGTTCTTGAATGAAATCCGTGCACATAGTCGTCGACGAATTTTTCCGGAAAAGAGTGGGCCGCGGTAACTTCGGCTCATTGATGAATTGATGATGCCGAAGGGTATCCCGGCTCTCTCGTATCCCATGATGAGGTTCTCCTCAAGATGAATCATCCGCTGCCCGATTGTACGCCCCAAGGACCGCTGCAAGCTCTTGACCATCGTCCGCATGCCGACCATTGAAGCTTGCCCCCGTGCGTCCCGGAATCCCCTCGATGAATTCCCCGTCCCCTGCGGAAGAAAAAACTTTTCCAGGATCTCGCGGTTCAGTTATATACTCGCGCCCTGGGGTTCCTTGAGAACTTATCCCGACTCATTATCCAGTCAGTGTATTCTCGCTGGATGACGTCGGAGAGTCTTCGACATATTTCCCGCTCTCGTCTTTTTCGCTATCAATAAATAATTTGACTTGTTCTTTTGGTTGACTCCGATGGTTTCTCTACTCCATTCTGGAAGCGCATTGTGCCATTGATCTCGCCTCAGAGTCCGCGTACTTCGCAAGCCAGAACTCGGGCCAGAGTTTCTTCGAGCGAACCTCGATGGAGAGCGAATGGAAATCCGACTCCGTCATGAAGGGTAAGGGAATCCTTGGGGCTAACGGAATCTGAGATATGTTCTGTTCCTTGAAGGGGAACACAGCTTCTGTATGAAAAATCCTCAAGCTTCATATCGACAGGAGCAAAGAGTACGAAGTTCATCGCGTGATCCGGAAGGACTTGAAAGGGAACGCTGTTTATCACTCGATGTTTCCGAGGCCTCCGAAAGGTACATCCTGCATTTAACCCCGTGAGACTGTTCCCGACTCCACGGCATCGTTCGAGGCGCGACCATGGAGCTCCTCCGACTCGGCTCTTCCTATGGATAGATCAGGGATGAACTTTAAGCGCATCGAATCCACGAGGTTTCCTCAGATTACCGTCTCAGATGCCCGACTCTCAGATGCCCGAATAGTGAGAGGTTAGGTCGGGTGAAAACTGACAAAGTATGACATTGCGGGGCGACATAAACCCTATTCACCGAACTGGGGTCAGGCTGCTGTCAGCAGGTGCCTACCCTCCTCCTAGTGGGGTTTAGAGTCATTGCGACGTTGCGATAGATTTATTTTGTTGAAATGATGTACATATTCTGAAAGGTGGAGAGGCGAGGCCGATTCGTCTCCCTTATCGAAGATCACTCAACAAGGAAAACAAACACGACAGAGATCCTATGGCCCGAGCGAGAAAATGTTATGCGATGTAGGCGGAATGCACTGAATAGAGAAATTCGATGCCGTACTCGGTATCGACGGTGATTGGGTCAGGAACAGCACTCGGATAGTTCGGACAAAACTCGAAGCAAGGTATA